AATTACATTTGGAACGTATGGTTTTTGATATCGTTCGGTTCTCTAATTGAGGGGTGTTTGATTCTCATTTTTCTCAAAATACATTTTTTTCTCTTCTTTTTAACCACACATTCTTCATTAAAATAATATTATACGCAAATAAAAAAAATCATTCTCCTTTAATCATACATGTTTCATTAATCTACTATTTCAAAGTACATTTTTAAACAATAACGTGGCTCAAACATAGTTTGAAATTGGTTATAGGGAAAATTATATAAATCCAGGTATTTGAAGATAGCTTTTCAAAAATCAGGTCTAGATTTCACTTATTCAAAAATCAGGTAATAATTTTATATTTTAAAAAACATATTAATATTAAAACCCTAATAATTTTTTCACATGTGTTCTCTCTCTCCTCTCATTCTTTCTATCAGAAGACGAGAGGCGCCACCGGAAGACGTCACCGTCCACTGAGTGATGAAGTCGCTGTAGAAGCGGCGCTGTCGTTCCTAGCGGTGTCGAACGAGACGCCGAGGCTACTGTCATTCCCAACGACGTCGAAGCGACGCTGAGGTTGTTGTTCCTGGTGGTGCACCCGCCGCCGCCACATACAATCGCTCGTAGTGTAGCCGTCGTAGGACTCCGTCAAATCAAAAATTTGAATCGAATGCCTAAATCAAACAAACCCTAGATGAGTTGGGCATCGGCAATTGGTGTATTCGGCAGCAGCGTCATTTGGTGGTTGTGCTGTTTTTAGTTTGTATATGGTTATGTTTTAGTGGTGGTTGTCGTGGTGAGGGGTGGTGGTGGTGGTACGATGATAGTCGTGCATGTTGTTTGTTGGTGGTGAATGGAGTGATGGTGGCTGTGGCGGTGATGAGAATGGTGGTGTGTCTCTCCGTTGGTGTGTGATCTGGTGGCGACGGTGGTGGTGTGATGTAGTGGTGTTGGCAAGAGGTGGTGGCAGGTTTGTGGTGGGTGGTGTGATGTTGTGTGGTGGAGGTGGTTGTTTGTTAGTGCTGTTGCGGCGGTGGCGGCGTGGTGAGGGTGGTCGAAAGTGACCATAGTGGTAGTGGCGGTAATCTGTGACCAAATGTTTGGTACTTTGTGACCAATTACTCAACTGTGATATAAAAATTTAATAATATGTGACTTAAAAATAATCCGTGACCTCGAAATAATCTGTGACGTACAAATTTTTTGATCTGTGACCTCGAAATAATATGCGATCAATTAATTTTAAAATATGTGA